GGGAAATATGACCAAATCAACAGCGATTCAACGTCGGACAGGTAAAGTAACCTTGTATGTGTTTGTTGTTCTCTTTATAAATCCGTGGTTGTTACACAGATTTTCGCGGGTGGCGGCCGCGAGCGCCCCGCTTCTGAAACAGGTTGGTGGGGCAGGTCGCAGATCGCGGCGCACACGCTCCTGGTGCAATCAAATATGTACCTTACCTATGTGTGTGTAAAGAATGCTGATATGAAAAACAACCAGTAGTCAATGTGCAGGCTGCCAATTGAATGGTGATTTAAGATACTCAAATATAATGGGTTCATATATTTGTAAATCTCACTCTGAAAGAGTCAGTGCCTCACCAGCCACGAACCTCACCGCACGTCACTGGAACAGAAACAAGTGTTTGTAGATTAGAATGTGAAACATGCAGTATAATTCTGCTGTATATTGATTTTCCAATCCTAGTTCTCTGTTATATTATCAGAAAGCCTTTGTTGGTTTTATACATTTTCCAATTCTGAAATCAAGTTGTACATGTAGACCCGTTTTGGTGCCTTTACACAAACCTGAACAATGTGGCTGTTAAACCGAGACCTGACCCAGGACCAGAGTAAGGCCAGGTCTCATCAGGTTTAGGGTTCTGATGTTTTGCTCCTTGTATTGTTTCAAAAAGACTTGCAGGAACACCAGCCAGTTTGGCAAAGTTTGTGTTCAAAACGCTCTTTGACAGCTTTAATGTTGGCGGTCCTTTTTTAAATTAACATAATGCTCCATTGACATAGGTCAGTTTAATTCAAACAATCAAAAACTCTTTCAGAGTAGGCATGTCTCGCCACTTTAACCCTCAGACCCTTTTCATATGTTTTCGCCTGGAGTAAATACAGGCTTCCATGACTTTATCTCTCTCTCTCTCCCTGTGTGTGTGTGTGTGTGTGTGTGTGTGTGTGTGCGTGCGCAGATGTACCGTCTGACTCTGCGCTGCAGCAAGGACTCTGTGTCCATGCGTCTCTGCGACCTGCTGGCCCAACAGTTCTAGAGTCCAGACCTGCACCGTAACCAGTCCTCCCACCATCCCCACCAGCGACCTCTCCCTGGAGCCCTCTTGTCCCTCCTCCTCCCTCCCAACAAAGAATCTTTGAGTAAAAAAAGGTGTAACCTACATAAGGGAAAAAGCAGCACCTGCTAGCAGCAGCGGCAATATTATTGTCATTATACTTGTCCCAGATACTGATTCCAGTTCATCTTGTACTTGTTTATTAACATGATGCTAAATTCTTGTTTTTGTTGTGTTTACCTGTGTAGCTGGAGCTTGTGTGGCCAGGTGTGTGTGTGTGTGTGTGTGTGTGTGTGTGTCCCATGGTTGTGCTAGGGGTCCCATTCTGCTCGTGTGTGTGTGTGTGTGTGTGTGTGTGTGTGTGTGTGTGTGTGTGTGAGTGTGAGTGAGAATCTAAATTGGTTGAGCATTCCTTGAACTCGAATGAGTGAAGCTGTTTATTGCACTCATACACACACTCTAGTATGAGGCCTCCATGATTTCTTGTGGTTCTTTTGGGATCCACTAATGAAGTGAGACCTGGCGGTCCAGAACTTCTGCCCACTCATTTCCGTCAAGCATTCCCTGTGAAAATGCACTTAAGGCTTTGAGACCCTCTTTGGGACCCTCTAGTGGGATTCACCTTACTTCTCCCCTGAATGACCTGATCCCTCTCGTGGAAGCCTTTTAATGGGCAGCCTTTCATTTCAAAGAACTAGTGCACTCGTTTGTTATTGATGTGTATGTAAATACGTGCCAGTGTATTACTTTATTGCTTTCTGAGACATTCCCATAACCAAGCCACTGTAGTAGAAGGATGGCACAGAATGGACACTATGTAGATGATGGGTACAGGGATGAGACTTTTATACCCATATGAGTCTGTCTCTTCCACCTGGGAGATGGTTCCAGGTACTTGCCATTGAAAAGCTTAGGGAAGCTTCTGTGAGTCCTGGATGCACCACAATCACCTGAAGGATAGAACAGTTGTGTAGCCAGGCAGGGATGTTCTGAAGAGATGTGGCTGCAGCAGCTAAATCCAGAACCAAGATATATATATGAGCCCGTTCCATCCCAGGCTGGACAGATATCAGTCTAATATACATATATACACATTCATATTCCTGCTTCTCCAGCCAAGCATTTATTCAAGAGACCAGTGCAAACAAATCTGATGTGTACACAACCACTACAGTAAATGTTCAGTAAGCTCAAAATATTTAGATTCAAGCGTCCACAGCTTTCTAACTCTTCCCTGGGCTTCCTCTCACGCACAAGCACTGATGTGGGAGAGGACAGGATGAAAGACACCCAGATGTCCATTACAACTACAGGGGACACAGTATATGTGTGTGTGTGTGTGTGTGTGTGGGGCTGGCTGTGGCTGTAAGCAGGTAAGAAAAAAAAGCCTAAAGACATTTCTAATACATGGTCACATTACATTCTGTGGCTGCACGGCAATCACAGGACATTGAACTCTGTAGTGGAAAACATAGTCATTTTGTCATTCTGTGTGTGTGTGTGTGTGTGTGTATGCAGTATCCACTAGCTAATGCAGCCTCATGTATCGGTGTTAAGAACCTGTCCAATACCTGTTTTAGAATTAAGATTTACTCTGTAATGAAAAAATGTGAAAGTAAAACTATGCCATATATCCAATATGACGCCTCCTGTCTCTGTGTCTTGCCATCTCTCTGTCTCACAGTGATACAAAGATGAAAGCACCGTCTTCCAGTGCAGCACATGCACAGTTGGTGGTCAACAGCATTAAAGGAACTTAAAGTCATTCTTAAACTTCTGAGAAGAAAAGTACAGAACGTCAAAGTTCCTCAGTGTTGTGTGGAGCATACAGGGAGTCACTAAATAACAATTATCAAAGTAATGGCCAATGCCTGAAGTTTCAGTTTATGATTTGCAAAGCACTGTGTAATATTACTGTATCATTCTCATAATATAACAGGTAAGTTACATGCAATGAGCAGTGCTTGAAGTGGGGAAAAAAGTGCCAGCATTTCCCTTATTCACGTGTGTATTGACTGATATCAGCAATCATTACATTCTGGATTTCTACAGTGAATAAAAGATACCAGGAGATATTAGGTTTGAGGTCCTCCAACACAATTATTATTAAATGACGACGCCTAAAAAGCTTTAAGGCGAAACTTGCCATAGTTATTTTATTAACAAATTTCACATCTAACATTTCATTATTCTGGAAATGTTTACCCATCAGTACATCAAAAGAGTGCATTCAGAAAACCTTATTTCTATTTATTCACAAATTACGTTATGACAAACGGCTAAGTGGAGAGCAGGGCCGTCCTTCCCTCAGAGGATCGGCGGTTCGATCCCCGGCTCCACTATGACTGATGCATGTCGATGTGTCCTTGACACACTTAACCCCAAAATTGCTCCCATAGCTGTGCCTACGTGTATGAATTGTGATATAATCTGAAAGTAAGTTGCTTAGGATAAAAGCGTCTGCTAACTGACTGTAATGTAATAATCACTCCCTGGTCCGGCAACCGCAACGTCGGCGGTTCTATCCTGGCTGCTACAAGTACCTGTGCCGAAGAGCCCCTGAGCAAGACACTGAACCTCTAACCCAACCATCATCTGAAAAGAGGACTTTGGACCACTGAGTCCTTTTTCTCCTTGGCCCAGGTAAGACGCTGTTGACGTTGTCTCTGGTTCAGGAGTGGCTTGACACAATGCGACTGTTGTAGCCCATGTCCCGCATATGTCTGTGTGTGGCGGCTCTTGAAGCACTGATTCCAGCCGCAGTCCACTCATGAATCTCCCCCAAATTCTTGAATGGGCTTTGCTTCACAAGGCTGCGGTTATCCCTGTTGCTTGTGCACCTTTTTCGACCACACTTTTTCCTTCCACTCAACTTTCCATTAACATGCTTGGATACAGCACTCTGTGAACAGCCACCTTCTTTAGCAATGACCTTTTGTGGCTTCCCCTCCTTGTGGAGGGCGTCAATGAGACATGAGTCTACAATATTGAACTTATTCACAATATTCTAATTTTATGACATACTGGATCTTGGGTTTTCATTAGCTGTAAGCCATAATCATCACAATTAAAAGAAATAAATGCTTGAAATATATCACCCTGTGTGTAATGAATCGATATAATTTATGAGTTTCACTTTTTGAATTGAATTAATGAAATAAATACATTTTTCGATGATATTCTAATTCATTGAGATGCACCTAATGTCTGACTACCTTGCCAATGACCAACTAGACCTAAAAAAATATTAAATAAATAATTCTGCCAGGGAAGGGGAGAGATAAGGAGAAGCTGAGGGAAAAGAAAGAGGAAGAGCATGTACTGCCCACTGTGTAGCATTAGCATTAGTAGTATATCCCATGTGCTGTTCAACCCCTGAATCAACTACATACACCATTAGTCTACCACAGAGGTATGCAGCATGCTCTTTGGTTTAAACAGTGGAACCTATAGGCTCAATTTAACAGCAATACAAACACCCAGCAATGTAATAATACAGGGATATTGTTGAACACACATTTTATAGGTTCTGCTGGAGACACGAATCCAAAATTATGCAAACTCAAACACCAAGATGAAATAAAGAAGGCATTTCTAATTTAACTCTTCTATTTTACAGGCTACATTAGGCTCTGTTGCTCCCATATTAGTATACGTCTTTTCCCGGTTAGATCGCAGTGCTGTCTGCAGCGTGAATTAGGCCCCGTCATCAACAAGCATGCTCAGATGGTTCGTGGTGATTTGAGCCTCCTCTGTACTACCAGGTTGAGGTGTGAATCATTCATTGCAATATTCTCATTACTGCTTGAGATGATCAGATGATCAGTGGTGCAGAGCGCGCGGACATGCACGCTGCCTTTCATTAGGTAGGTCTTTCATAACGTGCACATGAATGGTGGTGTTGATGAGCAGCTGTCGGTGAGCTCCACTCTGCTAGCGCCACTCTCGGCTGGAGGCTGACGGGCTGCTTCTTCTCCACCTCTGCTGAGCGGCGCGCTGATACAGCGGAGATGCGTCTGCGCGTGTGGAAGTCTGACAAGGCTCTGATTGGCTAAAGATGACATCATCCAGTCATAGATCTATTGTTGAAAAGAGGATGAGCTCATCGTTTAGAAGCCAGTTTGTGGACGCAGAGTGAGGACGGAGGCAACAGAGCACATCGGTGGACCGAGAGAAGCAGACCGCTGACCGAGACCTGCTCCGGGCTTCTGCTACAAGAAAAGGACGTGTCGGCGATTTGAAACAGGGACACCTACAGTGAGTAATATGAAACGAGTAGCATCGCCGCTGTGCGTGAGAAGAAAAGAGTAACTGCATATTAATCTGCATATTCTCTCAGCTGGAGTCTCTGCTGACATCAGGAAAAGTAGCTCCAGATGTTAACAGTCACTCTTTTTACTGCCTCTTCATAGAACAATTCAACATGGTCTTATGTCATCAAAGTTGCGAGACAAAAGTCTCCAGGTTTTAAATGTATTAAACGTAGTGCGTGTTGTGCTGCAGATATGGTCTGGTCCCGGGAGACAGAGGCGGAGCGGCCTCCGCTGTCCGTCATCCTCCCGCGGCTCTACCTCGGAGCGGAGAGCGACTTGACGCAGGTGAGACGTCCTTTACATCCTTTACCGTAAAGGTATCAATTCTACTATGTAAGCAGACAGCATTCCAAGTTTTACTTTAATTATAGTTGTATTGATACAACCTCATTCAAAGTATCATGCAGCATATTATGATATTCCATCCATCCATTTTCCTCCGCTTATCCGGGGTCGGGTCGCGGTGGCAGCAGGCCAAGCAGGCCAACCCAGACCTCCCTCTCACCGGCAACATGTTCCAGCTCATTCTGGGGGATCCCGAGGTATTCCCAGGCCAGCTGGGAGATGTAATCCCTCCAGCGTGTTCTGGGTCTTCCCCGGGGTCTCTTCCCAGTTGGACGTGCCTGGAAAACCTCCAGTGGGAGGCGTCCAGGAGGCATCCTAATTAGATGCCCGAACCACCTCAGCTGACTCCTTTCGACGCGAAGGAGTAGCGGCTTGACTCCAAGTTCCCTCCTGATGACCGAGCTCCTTACCCTATCTCTAAGGCTGAGCCCGGCCACCCTACGGAGGAAGCTCATTTCGGCCGCTTGTAGCCGCGACCTTGTCCTTTCGGTCACGACCCAGAGTTCGTGACCATAGGTGAGGGTAGGAACGTAGACCGAGTGGTAAATTGAGAGCTTTGCCTTCCGGCTCAGCTCCCTCCTCACCAAGACGGTCCGCTGCAGCGCCTGCTTTACTGCTGCAGCCGCACCGATCCGTCTGTCGATCTCCCGCTCCATCTTACCCTCACTCGTGAACAAGACCCCGAGATACTTAAACTCCTTCGCTTGAGGTAGGCACTCCGTCCCCACCTGGAGGGAGCAATCCACCGGTTTCCGGCAGAGAACCATGGAGTTGCTAACTCTCATCCCCGCCGCTTCACACTCGGCTGCAAACCGCCCCAGTGAATGCTGGAGGTCATGATCAGAGGAGGCTAACAGGACCACATCATCTGCAAACAGCAGAGAGGCGATCCCGAGACCCCCAAAACTGACGTTCTCCGCCCCCAGGCTGCGCCTAGATATCCTGTCCATGAAAATCACGAACAGGACCGGTGACAAAGGGCAGCCCTGGCGGAGGCCAACACCCACCAGGAACGTGTCTGACTTATTGCCGAGAATGTGGACACAGCTCCTACTGCAGTCGTACAGAGACCGGTTCGCCCGTTGTAACGGGTCCGGCACCCCATACTCCCGCAGCACCCCCCACAAGACCCCCCAAGGGACCCGGTCGAAAGCCTTCTCCAAGTCCACAAAGCACATGTAGACTGGTTGGGCAAACTCCCAGAGCCCCTCCAGTAGTCTTGCGAGGGTAAAGAGCTGGTCCACTGTTCCACGGCCGGGACGGAATCCGCACTGCTCCTCTTGAATCTGAGGTTCAACAAGCAGTCGGAGCCTCCTTTCCAGCACCCTGGCATAAGCCTTCCCTGGGAGGCTGAGTAGTGTGATACCCCGGTAGTTCGAGCACACTCTCTGGTTCCCCTTTTTGAAGATGGAAACCACCATCCCGGTCTGCCATTCCATGGGCACTGATCCCG